ACATTACATACATACATACACACCCACACACACCCACACATATGTACGCCCACACACATATACATACACACACACACACACACATCCTGTACATACACATATACCTACACACACATATAATAGAACGTTTAACAGCTCTAATCAATTTCATTTTTTTTTGCATGAATCAAAATTGTAAAGGAAAAAACAACACCCATTTCATTGTTATTTACTGCTTGTACGTTTATCTCAGCAGTAAATCTCCTTATTTTATATCTTATTAGAAATGTTAACAACTTTGTTTTATTAAATAAACATTTAAACTACACTGTACATTGACAAATCAATCTATTTCTTAATAATTAAAAATAAACTTTACTCATAGCTTCTACAATAGAAGAATAAGAATACAAATTACAAAAAAATGCATAAAATATTGCATAATTAATTCAACGTATAACAAGGGATGATTATAATACAGTATAAAGTGTAGAACCTTTTACAGCATAATTTATTGAGAATTCCTTGATCCAACACTGGAATCTTACTCCTGGGATCACGATAGTACCGCCAATAGGAGCGGCAAACAACACTTTTTTAATAAAAGAGGCAGAATAAATAGAAGCTCTACATCTTGGAATATGACTTTCAACTCACAAAAAGTCCTGGACCGCCGATTTTTGCCTAACGATTTTAACTTGATGCTATGGGCTCTCTGTAGTTTTGTTAGCCCACTATTGGTTGGGACTACCCTCGATGGTGTTCTGTTACCGCAGGTTCCCCCGGGCCAATGGTGAGTTTTTAGTTTATTGGTTAAGTTATGTTGGTCTATGAGCTTGTATGCTTTTCTCAATGTTGTACCGAATAAATAAATTGAAATTGAAGATGAAATCTAAGGTCTATATATTAATTATATTGCTTCTCGTCTTTATTTACAGCAAATTTCATTACATTAATAATCTCTCTTGGATGCATCTCAGTTGTTGCAACATCGGTTATTTTAAAGCTTCACTTCGGACGACACAGCAAGCCTCTGAATGGATCCATTCACAAGATATTCGTCAGAGGTCTAGGCTCAGCCCTTGGAGTCTGTAACGAACCGGATGTTGACAGGCAACCTACGTATTTGGAGCATCTCTCGATCAGTGCAGATATAGGCAACGACACAGAGTCAACGTCAACACTTCAAGCGTCATCAGAATTCAAGCAGATAATGGCAGACATCAAAAAGCTTAGCCAGCAGATCGATGAACGGAAAGAAGAAGAACTAACAAAAACATGGACAGACCTGGCGTGTGTCTTTGACAGATTAATGCTGATATTTTTCATGCTATTTTTTTTTATCGCATCCACTGTGATAATAATAATGTTACTGAAAAATTAAAAATCAATCCAATATTATCAACCATGTGAAAATAATGCAATGCCATTTTATATGATTAAATATCAACTACAACGATGCAGGAACTATGTGTGTTTAAGGCCAACCTTCACTCGACGCATAAGTACTTTATTCTACCATGACGCAATAATTTGAATAGATGTTAAGTCTTTGACAAGCGTAATGATAAGGACATTTTACTAAATGCATTATGCGTTGCCTAAAGTATGATATCACGT